AACGTATATGTTCCAACGAATGGCTGTCAACTTGACAAGTATTAAGAATGTCATCTTCTGGAATGTGGCACCGTGTAGATATTGTATAAACCAATGTTTCGGAGGAACATATCGCCTCCATCTTCAGGGTAAAATAAAAAAGGAAAAATCCGCGAGCGAGGAAAGAGCGTGAGCAAGTGGCTGCAGACTCAGTGACAAGTGTTTTCGGCTGGTCACTTAGTCTGCAGCCACCTGTTCACGCCGGTTCCTCGCTCGCAGATTTTTTCTTTTTCTTCTACCCTGAATATGGAGGAGATATGTTCCTCCGAAACGTCGGTTTACGCAAGATCTACACAGCTCCACATCCCAGAAGACGGTATTTTTCATAGTCACCGCGGAGAAACCTCAAGTTTTTTTTTAATGCTAGTGGGGTGGGACTAAGTCCCTTGTACTGCGGCCACTTCTGGCCTATTGTACCAGCCCCAGATGATAGGTGAGGGTGATTGTAGGGCAATTGATGGAATGAAGATTGGCAGGGGAAACCGAAGTACTCGGAGAAAACCTGCCCCAGCGCCACTTTGTCCACCACAAATCCCACTTGACCAGACACAGGATCGAACCCGGGCGGCCGCGGTGGGAAGACAGCGACTAACCGCTTGAGCTATGGCGTGGCCACCTCAAGTCTTACATTGACAAGTATTGTACTACAACTTCCTCTTGTGGGTAACTGTACCCGTAGTCCTCTGTAATTCAACCAGTTTTCAGGTTCCTGTATTTCAAATTGGTACACAAATACGAACACTGAAAATGGAGAAATAGAGAGAGAAATTGAAAATGACTCAGGCGTATCCGAAACAGGAAATTGCAGTACTTTTCCCTCAAAATAATAACAAATGCTTTCAATTTCAACATCCGATAAATGGAGCCTCTGTTGCCGCTTTATGCGACCGCAGCAGGCGTGTCTTTTGTTTGGTTTCCTCATCATAAGTTCGTGACCGTTTTCTGTGATCAGGTTCCACACAAATTACAGTCTGCCTCGCAATTTCGTGACCGCTTTCGTGTTCAGACCCTCGATAAACTCACAATTCTCCACAATATCGTAATGGTCATCAATGGTCACGAAATCCACACAGTCCAACAAATTCTTTTCGAATTTTCTACTTGAGCGTGTTTGTCACAGCCCGTATCCATGTGTTAGGGTTTAATTGTACAATAGAACTCTTTCATTTGTTATTTTATGAAGGTATATAGCTGGCACATAGGCATGTACTGTCTTCCCTCGCTTGGAAAGCGGGATCGTTGGTTCGAACCCCACTCAGGGCATGGATGTTTAGTTTGTGTGTGTGCGTTTTTCTGTGTTTGTGTACAGGTAGAGGCCTTGCGATGGGCTGATCACCCGCCCAAGAGGTCCTACCGAATGTGTAAGATCTAGAAAAACCGAAGTGAACGGAGAAGTTCATTGAGGTAGGCCTAGGTCCACTGGGGCTCTAGTGCCAAAGGGGAAAAAAATATATCTGGCACATAGTATCAACATTTGTCTACCCTTAGACCATAGGCATGTTTCATGTCCTAATAACGCTAATGAATATCGACCAAATTTGGCATACGTGTACATAAAAACTTATCTCTTTGGCATACGTGTACAAGAAAATTTATCACGAGAGTATAATATTATATTTGTATGTTGTAGCCGTCAATTTGTATAATTCGGAGTAAACTGTTACTGACACCATGAATCAGAGTCCTGCTTCATAAGCTGATGGCCATTCCGTTTTTAGAGAAATTCCCTGCCTTTAGGGATCTCGAAAACACTCGGCTACTGGCGGGTCACTGGCTTTTTCCTGAGACAAATGAATTACACTTACATATGCAAGGTTAGAGATTGTCACAGCGTTGATCATGAAGACGTGTATCTACTCGAATATGTCACGAAGTGGTAGGTAGGAAGTCATCCGACTTACCGGAAGTAGTGACGCCTCCATTTCCTTTGCTTCCTACCTCCTTCGCTTCTATGGCTTATTCTTCGACCCTGAAACGTAGGTTGACTTCCAACGGACTATGTGGTGGTGTGTCGCAGAAGACAGAACCCTCCATTTTAAGACAATTTTTTCGCATCTAACGTACAACTCCAGTATAGCCTCTTCCTTTCTGATTTTCAGACCAAAAGTTTACAGTCCGATGGACTTTTCATATCCCTAATGCGTTATATATGATCCGTCCATCATAGTCCCCTCGATCTGATAATTCAAAGGTATTTGATGACGAGCTTAGTTAGATCAAATTCCTCATCTTGCGAATGTTACTGAAGAAGTAAAAGCTATCCCTATAACAGGCCGTGAAGGCCCTGCCAATCTTCATTCCACCAAATTCTCCATCATCATAATCACCCGGGGCAGGCTATAATAGGCCAATCAGTGGCCGCCGTGCCTCGTGAACCCACTTGGACTCCACCCCCCACTAACCGAATTAAAAAAAATATACATATGGCACGTATTAAAGATTAATTTGCTTAAAATTCAGCGAATTACCTGAAATAATGACATAACTCGTTAATTATACTCGACTTGATTGCCGTTGTCCAATATTCTGATATCACTTCGGCATGTATATTTTGTCCCCCAAATTTTAATGCATTACATGTAACTCTACAGTAGACACATGTGATTCTGAAACATAACGCACCGCTTTAACATGACAGCATTGTTCCATTGGTTCGTTCGTTTTATTGGTACCGGGCTCATCTCTCTGTACCTTCTGACTCTACCTTTGCCATAGATTAATTTAAAGACAGCGACGCTGAAAAGAAAATTTGCATTCAACGCTAAAACTGGTTTAGTAATATATGAGTATAGAGTGCGCCACTTCAATACCAAGTCAGTATCTAACATGAAGAATTCTGGCGACTTCATAAAGTAGTCAAGTGTGAAATTTTGTATTGGTGCTCCAAAAAAAAAGTTCTCTCTTAAAAGAAAATTAACGATTACGGAGAGTCAAAATTTTAATTTTTAAATGGACTATTTACCGACTGGTTCAATCAGTAAAGTGACTTGACACGAGCAAGAAGACAGGCATTGGATTCGCAGCGGGAGCGGTAATATCCCCCTCGCCACAATCCAAGACCTGCACGTCGACCTCTCTAACGAATACAGAGGACACTTCAGTCGAGGGTAAAACGTCAGGAAGTGCATGGGACATTAATTGTCTTCTCTCTCTATAAACCTTCATGGAACACTGCTCAGGTACATGTTGAAGCTGCAGGCCCATGTGAACTGGTCATTTTGTGTTTAGTAAGGCTCAGCACCGAGTTCGGTGTTCTATAAAACTGAAGACTTCGCCTGTAACTTCTGCTTATTTCGGGCTGGAACTGAGCTGCTTGTTAAGGAATATGTATCTGCAATATCTTGCATACATTTATATACTCATACTATAACGTCATACATTATTACGTTTCATTTGCCTCTGTTATCATTAATACTCTTTCCTTCTGATTCTGATTGTATTTACACGATTCTTTTCCTGTCGCTTTGTTAAGTTGCTTATTCGTATTGCTAAAGAAAGCTTATTTTGTTAAATTAATTTTATTTTTTGAAATGATTCTATCATAATAATTCAGATATTTTTATATTTTAATTGACCCTCAGTCTAACAATTCAACGCTTGACTGAAATATTGTGCACAGCATCTATAAACTGCATGGAAGTATGATGAAATATATTTTATCTCTCTTTCTCCCTCCCTCTCTAACGTTCTCTCTCTCTCTCTACGTCTGTTTAATCTCCACTCGAAAAGCCTGTACTAGGCTGTATGTTTTCATACCTTCCTAACAAAATTCCTGGTCTTTAAATGTTTTTCCAGCGAACGTTAAGCATACAGCATCTTGAAACCCGTAATCCGAAAGAAGTCATCAGAGAAAGAAGGAAGTCCCACTTGTCTAAGTGATGCCGATGTCACCGGTGTTACAGTATTTAGCAAGGAAATGAGAAATGTTTGATTTTTATCTTAGAGCATCTTTCTTGCTGCCTCGCCACATTCCCTTTCGTGGTTCTACGTCACAACTCGGGCGTACAGACGCCGCAGAAATTCACAATGCACAAATAAGCAAACTATCACTTGACATGTATGTCTGGTGCAGAAGTGGACTGTCGGCTTATTCTTCCTAACACTCCAACGTCAGCATACGTTACCTACTTTCTGCATCCTGCAGAGAAATCTACCCTTGTCTGACATCTGAGCTTTTCACAGCGGTGAAGGTTCAGACACGCTCTTCTGTGTTGAGATACGTAGCTCTGTATATGGTTGGCTGTGCGTCGCGGGGGGGAATATTATATTTCCCCCTTCTAACTTTAAGATGGAGCAAGAGATTTCGACGAAAGGTTGGTAACATGCATTATGGGAACATACAAGATTACATGATATAAGAGCCGAAAGGACCACAATCTAAATAAGCCTACACTTGTATTTGTCAGGTAGCTTATTCGAATCTTGGCATAGTTTTGTCTATCATATTTGAGGTTTCAGTAGTTGTTCTCGCACCCTATACCCTTACGATCCATCATAGTGTTATGTCACGTAGAGTTACTATATTTGACGTTCAGGATATTATATTTTATTACATTTTAGAGTTCCAGATTACAGATCCAGAGGTCCCGGGTACAATTCCCGGCGCTACTAAATTTTCTGAGAAGTATTGGGTCTGGAACGGGGTCCACACAGCCTCGTACGGATAACTGAGGAGCTATTTCAAGGGAATAAGGTTCTGGTCTAGAAAACCAAAATTAACGGCCGTGGGGTTCCGTTGCGCTGACCACGCGGCACCCTCTAAATGCTGAAGCTGGCACATTCTAATCACGGATACTAAATACTTCTCCGCGATATTTGAGAATATGACAATGACGGTAATAACAGATGTGACATAAGTACAGCCAGACGTTTAGGTCATAATGATGATAACGAGGTGTTCCATGTTAGTTCCTTGATAAGATAGCCACATCACTGAGATTCTGAATACATTCTTTTTGCAGTGCGCCCATTGGACGTCCGTCTGCTAGGAGAGAACCAACCGCTGAGTGCCGCCAGTGAGTATGAGGTGGCTTGTCAATCTTCTGGCGCACGACCCCCCGCTAACATCTCCTGGTGGAAGGCAGGAGTTTTGCTAGACCACACGCGAGAAACGGTAAATATTCAAGTAGGTACTATAGGATTCCGACGATGGTGTATAACACACAGAGATATTGGGTTTTCGGACTTTATCCATCGTCCTGGTTTCCAAGATAACTAATAAAAACACGACGTTTCGGAAACTGGATCTGTTTACGTCCTCAGGTGAAGGAAAAACACCTATTCTGTTGGGTCCCTTAGAAAGAGCTAGCCTCAATCCAGTTTCCTAAACGTCGTGTTTTTACTAGTTATCTTAAAAACCAGGACGATGGATAAAGTCCGAAAACCCAGTATCTCTGTGGGTAAATATTCTATTCCGAAATAAAGATACCTAGCCAGATGATGCCAGATTTACTGGGCTCATTTCCGTGGTTTCAACGGAAACCGCTCTATGAGGTAACATTTCCCACGTGGCTGTGTGTCTTCATGTTTTTACAGCTATGTTATGTGCTACTGCTGAGAGTGAATGAAGTGGGCTTGCAGCTGGGAAGTAATGGAAACTGGTCTCAGTATTCAGCCAGCACATACCCGTCTTCAGAACAAGTTAGCATAATTTGTATAGCTTTATGCATGGGAGATCTAACCTGATGTAGCTTAACGAATTTAAATTTCATGAAGAAGAGCCAATTTTAACGCTTAAGTCGAATTTTATCGACATTATGGAAAAATAAGAATGGTGAAATACACCGTCTCTTTCCGGATTTAACGAGACAACTTCTGTTGGCGCATGGCCACTCTATACTCTGTGGATGTACACGGTGATGTGCTGTGGGTTGCATTATGTTCCCGCAAATAGGTACAAAGGTGATGGCGTTTCGTCAGACATCCGTTTTAGTAACATAGGTTATTATTTTATTACCAGCAGTTACTGTGTTATATATAAATATTCGTAACATTTGCGGATCTCTGTAACTTCTATATAAGACGTCCTTTTCCAACTGAAATTCATTGAAAAGGGTCCAGTAATGCATATAGACCCGTAGGTAACAGAGTCCAGCGACTGTCTCTTGCAAGTGCGGTAATCTACTTTCGGACTGTGCAATTTATTAACTATTTCTCAAAAAGGTCCCTATTCCAGTGTCTAGTTCATTGGTTTGTCATCATAATAATCTTAAAATTGCAGCGAGTTACATCAGAATCTATACTCAAAATGCGGAAATTAAGATCCCCCGGTAAACTGACCGCCGATCGGAATGGTCGCACGATCTAAGGGATCAAACATCTTCGCTGGCTCAAGCACTGGAACCGTGAGTTTGAATAGCAGTCGAGGCGTAGATGTTTATCCGCATTTCATATGTGTTTGCGTTTTCCTGTGTATATAGCGGCTTTGCGACGGGGCTGATCACTTTCCCAAGAAGTCCTACCAACTGTCTATAAGATCCATAGTTTCAGATTAAGTCTGATGGTAAACAGGCCAGAGCCTCTAACACGAAATGTAGAAGAAGAAGACGTAAACTGATCATTAAACTCGAATGAAATGAGTGAAATTGACTGCAATGCGCATGCCGTAAAGATGTTGCATCAGATCGGTGAAAGGACTTGATATGTGCCCTGTATCTAATTTTCTGTGCGTGAGTAATTGTAAAAGATACTTTCAAGAAATACGGAGCGGAAATGAGGCCTGGGATCATTTGATTCGGGCTAGTGGACCTGTAGTGGGTGTTTGTGAACGCAGTAACAAACATAAGTGCTTCATAATAAGCAGGGGTTTTATTTACTCGTTATCTGTTACTTTCTCGAAAATTGAGTTTCTCTATGGAATTCGTAAATTTCATTGGAGTTCTTCAGTAAATGTTCATCAGTATGATCTGAATAAACCACAGTCAAAAGGGATTCATGGAAATTTTTGTATGTCGTACACGGATTTATACGAAATTGACTTATTTGGGCTTTGTTACTAGCAGATTTTCCAGCAGACGTGACGAAAATAAAGGGCGATTCTTTTCTTCGAAACGCGTCGTTTTATGATGCTCATGGTAAAAGAGTGAGTACACGAAAAACAATCTCAAAATAGCATGAAAGGTAAACTTTCCTTAAGCATTACTAATGTTTTCTTTACATTTCATTACTCCTTAATTTCACGCAAGGAGTTCTCTTCTAAACCTTCACACATGCTGCGAAATAAGCGTTATCCCCTGCGAGTCTTGTTTCCCTGCCGAATAGCGGTGTCGGAGAAGTTGCCGCTGACTGACGGCGCTTTGTACGTAGCTTTCGCCCAAACAGTTGGCATGGGGCTTGCAGGAAGGTGTGATAATTCCCGGTGGCATCTGATCGTTGCATGTTCGAACAAGATGGCATCGGTATGAAAGTCTGATGCCTTCGTTCTCTTTTCGAAAGTCTGTGTTTGAATTCCAAGCAAGGGAATTCTGAGATTGATGCCTTGTTGCATATGAGGCCATATTTATGCCACAATCTGGAAGACCGAAGACTGATTATCCGTTATAGTGAGAACCGCATTTCTCATGAGGCAGTTTGAGGTTCTTCCATCTGACAGATCATTTACACCCAAAATTCACGAGGTTCAAATGCGACAAATTTTAATATGCAGTTTGTTGGTTCATAGAAGACCCTAATTGATCTGGAGAGAGCGTACCGCATTAGTAAGTTATTTGGACTGGTAGATGTAGCGAAAATAATGCTATATCGGAATATTGAGTTTGTCAATTGACTGACTCTAAAGTACGCAGGTATACATTTTTACCACTACAAAATATTTACAAATTTCGAAGTACAATATATTTACGTCTACTGAAGAGCTAGTATTATGCGGCATTACACAAATGTAGACTTCTCACGCGTGGATGTAATATTTTATTCTTCCTCTGTATTTTTAGAATTAATCAGAATGAATTACGATGCAAGAAGTGAAACGTGTTGCTTTATTAAAAACATTTTGAAAATAGTATTGTGACGTGTCAAAGCATTGCCAGGCAACGGCTCGATAACCACCCCGCCATACGGGCACGCAACAATAGGACGAATGTTTATAGCTCGTTGTTGGGAAACAGTCAGCACGCCAGTGGACTGACGAGATTGTTATCACGTGACTTGTTTTCTGTGTGGTCGGCGCTACGCAACAACATAATTGTGTTTTCTACGTTGTCCGTGCCGCGACTATATAACACGAGTCCTCTTGCAGCTAAGAAGAGTCCAGGAGGGTCAAGCGCTTGAGAGTACAAGGACGGGAATGGAGCGTGTTCTTAGTGAATTGTGAAGATTAGTTAAGTACAGATTAGGTCATAGGAGTACAAAATGATTGAAGGCAAGAAAATTTCATAGTGATTTGAAGTGCTAGTTTCTGTAGTGAGATCTGTTGCTGCGAGGCGGCTAGTGGAAACTGAGAATCCTAGTGCGTGTGGAACGGTAAACTTGAAAGTACGTAAATCAGCAATAGCACTGTATTAATTGTAATTAAGAGAGAAAATCTAGAACCCGTTATTTTCGTCACGTGTATCCTCCTACACGTGACTATATTAAACATATAACCGTAGACCTTATGCATCACATCATATGATTAACATAAGCATTTACCTCTTACGTCGTATGACCTTCCCAGTGGTGGGCTCTTCTGAACGTAGTAGAAAAATTACAGGATGCATAAGCTGCGAATAATTCGTTCACCAGGTGGGAAATTGCGAGGTTCTCAAGTATGACTGTAATCTTTGAATTTATTCAATATTGATGCTGTGTGCAGATAAGACCAAATGATGTATAAGATTTTCTTACAATCGCAGAGGCAGCTTGAAACACAAATTCTTAATAACGCGGATTATTATAAGCTTATTATGCCTGCCTCAGATGAGTATGGAGTGCTGAAAATATTACAATTGACAAGAAAAACCGAAGTCCTTGGAGAAGATTAGGACCCAGCGCCACTTTGTTCACCACAATTCCCATATGGACTGCCATGTAAATGAAACTGGGCTTCCACTGTGACAGGTCGACAATTATTCATCTTTGCTACCCCAAATTCTCTCAGGTTAATGTCAAACATTTGTTAAAATTAATTTAAAACTTTTTTCTTACCCCGACCTTTAACCCGCTGCTTCGAACGCCACAATATTAACGCCCACACCACAGAAGCTTTAGAAGGCAAATGCAGAAATTTCTGCTGCTGTGACTCGTATATTTGTAGTCATTACCTTATTTCGGAATGTAGCATCTGTTGAAGAAATATAAAATGTTCTTTGAATAGCTGCAAAATAATTATTCCCTTTGTCAGAAATGAAAGCATCCTTTTTAATTAATTACGTCCCTTTCATTACTGCATGTTACGGAGTGAATAAACACGAATTTCTAGGATCTGGTAGTGTCAACGTGTTGTATCTTCGGCTGTCATATTTTTTATCCACTTATTATGATAAATTTTCCTACTGTTATGTCGCGGAAAGTTACACCATCTGACTTCAAGAGGAAAGAACTTGATCTTCTTGTGAGGATTTCTTATTCTTATTTCATAAATCTTTCGGATAAATGTGCTTCAGCTCATGGAACATATTTTGGCTGCATAAAACACATAACAAATTTCAGTGGCAATTTAAGAGGTAATTACTTTCATGACTCTCCAAATTTAGTGCTGAAAAATGTACCAATACCTTCAAAATATTTCTCAGTTTGTTATTTTTTCCTTTTTTAAGTTCCTTAATAATTCGTAAGCCACAGAATTCTGGAAAATTTTCCAAAGTAGAGAAAGTCTCTTTCTGCCTTACTCAGTGAGAATGTCACGCTTGAAAATTTTATGTTGCAATATCATATTATACAAGAAAATTATAAATTATTTGGGTGGTAAACTGTATTTGTTGTAGTTGTAACTATGTTTGCATTGTATTCATTGTGTATAGTGCGTCCTTAATTGTATATGTAGTTCTGTATGCTGTGTTTTATTTGAACGTGTTATATTATTTTGTGATGTGTGTTGTGTGTTATTGTAGTACCACTGCCACCTGGATAGAAACTAATTCACAGTTAAACTAAATGATAATAATAATCGGCAGATAAGATTAAAAATTCCGGCAT